CCGCCCGCGCGATGGAGAAGAGACGATACAAGCGGCAAAGCGCGATGGGTCCGGGGCGGGAACGCAAGGAGTTGGAGTGGAGCAAGGCGACGACTTTTGGCAAGGAGAGCGGCGAGGGCGGAAGGGCAAAGAGCCAAAGCAAAAAGCGCTGCTTGAGTTGAATTATCGACAGTCGATCCGCAAGCCCGTCGTCGGTGCTGGAGACCCGCAGAAGCGTCACCAGATGTCCATGGCCACCGACCAGACCAGCTCAGCAGAAAAAGGACGAGGGCGAGGGCGAGGGCGAGTGACAGCAGACGCGGTGCGAGCGTGGATGCTCTGGCAGGGGGAGACGGCTCGGGGCCGCGAAGGCGACACTGCAGACGGCGTGCTGTCCAGTTCATTCATATGCATACATACATACACACATACATACATACAGCCCTCAGCTCGCTCCAGTTGATCCGATCCATGCGACGTGGACCAGACCAACGGCCCGAGAGCGCGACACCACGACCCGAGCCACTCAGCTTCCCCTGTGGGATCCGCCATGAGGGGCCCTGGGTCACGCCCGACGCCCGACGCCCGACGCCATCCGCCGACACCACGGACGACCAGTCGTATCCGCCTTAGGCAGGTGAGGTTCCATCTCTGCATTGCCCTGCCGCTCGGACTAGCTACCTATCTCGACGCCCTTGACCGCCTTCTCTTCCCTTCCCTTCCCTTACGATTCGAGCTGCTGGCCCTCGAACTTGGGCAGCCGCTTCTCCACGTCCGCCCACGTCTCGTCGCCGTCGCACAGCTTCTTGACAGCTGCGAAGATTTCCTCCTCGCTGGCACGCACCTGCCGTGTCGAGTCGCGGTCGCGCAGCGTAAACGTCTGGTTCTGCACAGATTCAAAGTCGACCGTGATGCCCAGCGGTGTGCCCAGCTCGTCGTTGCGCGAGTACCGCTTGCCAATGCTGGCCGAAGAGTCGTCCACACGGCTCGAGATGCCCATCTTGCGCAGCTTCAGGCTCAGCCGCGACACGAGTGGCCCAAAGTCGGCGTGCGACGACAGCGGCACAAGCAGCACCTTGGTAGGTGCCACAACTGGCGGGAATGACAGCACCTAGGCCCTTTTGTTAGCTGCCTTCGGCCGTGCGCATGAGCAAACAACTTACGCCGCGTGCGCCCTCCTCGTCACCTGGCCTGACCCAGTAGTTCTGCTCCATCAGGCTGTACAGGATTCTGCCGATACCGAACGAGGGTTCAATGACGTTCGGCGTGTACTCCCTTGTGTTCTCCACCCTCGTGCGCTTCTCAATGTTGACCAGCTCCTTGCCGAGCTCGACCTTGCCCTCGCCAACGCCGGCAACGTCGACCGTGATCTTGCCCTCGTTGTTGAGGTCCAGCGAAAGCTTTTCACGCACGTCCTGCGTCAACGCTTCGATGGCAGCCTCGACTGTCTTGGCGTCCTTCTTGAACTTGGGGCCAAACTTCTTCTTGTCAATGTCAACCTGCCATTCCTCAACCCTGAGGGGCTCAGCGCGACGTTCCCTGACCAGCAGAGGGGCACCCGTCTTGTTCATGTGCACAGTGAGATCTTCAAATGTCAGTTCACACGCTCCAACACTCTACAGGTCAGACATACCGTATGCGCTGCGGTCAGCACAGCCAACACACTCGATCCAGCCGTAGCTGGTGAGAAGCTCGGCATCCCAGCAGTCAGCGGCGTAGTGGGCCATCTCGTTGGCCATGTGCTGCCTGAAGCGAATCTTGGTCGCGTCTACGCCAATCTTGAGCAAGAAGAGCTGGATCCTTGCGAGGAAGTAACCGAGAGTCTCGTTGTCGACTATGCCCTTCTCCACGGCGTCGCCAATGGCCGTAGATTCGACCGTCGTCTTGCCGGAAAGCTGAACTTCGCGGTTGAGGAGCTCCAGCTTGACATGCTTGACATCATCAAACCGTGGGTGCTTCTTGCCACCGGCAGGATCCACAAAGTGCTCAATCTCAGCCATCAAGAATTCACGGACACGCAAGAGGCCGCTCCTGGGGGAGATTTCGTTGCGGAAAGACTTGCCGATGGACGCCGATGCAAAGGGCATCTGGCCCTGGTTGAACTCAAGGAGTTTCTGGAACGTCAGGAACTGGCCCTGCGCAGTCTCTGGGCGCAGGTAGCCGGGCAAGTTGCTGCTGGGTCCGATGGAGGTCTGGAACATCAAGTTGAAGGCGACGGGAGGCAGGAGATCGCCGCCAGTAGCAGGATTCTTGATGTCGTACTTGACCATGAGCTGACCAAGCTCGGGCCCGTCGTAGTTATCAATCTTGGCGAGAATCTCTCCATATTCCTGAACAACGGCGTCTTCCAACTTGATGGCCTTGATCTCCTTGACCTTCTTCTTTTTCTTCTTGGGGTCTTCCTTCTCCTCGGTCACCTTTTGGCCGCGTGCCTCCTTGTCACCCTTCAGCCGAGACTCCAACACTTCCTCGACCAAGTGGTCCGCCCGGAAAATCTCGCCAGTCTTAGGGTCCTTGCACATCCAGTCTGCGAACTTGTCGACGTGACCACTTGTCTTGAGGACTTCTTCTGGGGTGAGCATGGTGCAGTCGACCTCCAGCATGTCCTCCTCCAAAACAAAGTGCTTCCTCCACAGGTCAATGACATTGGCCTGCAGCGAGCAACCAGGCGGGCCGTAGTCGTAGAGACCAGAAACACCGCCGTAGATTTCGAACGACGGAGTGTAAAAGAGGCGACGGCGCATGACGGACTCGAATTGAGCCCTGTCAAAGGCCTCGCCAGATTTGGTGGTGGTGGCCATTTGCGGTTCCTTGTCTTTCGTGCGCTTTTGGGTTGCGACTTTGAACGCGGCGGGCGTCGAAGAAAAGGTTCGGTGCTGAATGAAGGTGCGATTCGGGCGCAAGGGAGCTGAGCGGGCCGGAAGTGAGCAATTGATGCGCAAGGAATTCAGTACCTGGCGCATGAACTTGGCAAGCTCGCGGTGGGGAGGGTGAGGATCAAAATAGTCAGGACAGTATGACTCGTCGAGCTGCTCAAGGTCCGCCAGAAGTGTTGTTTGTCAAAGATGCAAACATACTCACTGTTGGCGGCGGGCACTCGGAGGTTTATGCCGGCGGTGAACCATATCCGGCATAGCGTCTGGCCGAAAAGCTGCCCGCTAGGATCAGCGCGGCCTTGCGCGCCCCAGCCGGCAAACTGGACCAAAAGTTCCCGCAGACTTTTGGATGCACAACCGAACACTTCGATTCCACCCTCGAAAAGTTTGCCTTCAAGCAAAAATTCACAATGGGCTCGGGAAAGCTCGCCCTCTCGGCCAAGCACGCCCTTCCTTTCAAGACCGGCAACAAGTTGCAGCGCCAGGAGTTCCATCACAAGCAAAAAAAGGTTCGCGACAGCGCTGAACGCGACAAGAGATTTCGACGGAAACGCGAGGAAGCAAAGAACCCCGAGCTCAAGAAGGCCAGACTCGCCCAGAATGTACCAATCACAATCGACAAGAAGCGTACATGGGATGACGTGGATGGCGACGAGGAGGACATTCTCAACCACGCCGTGGATGTGGAGAGGCTGAAGAGGCAGAAGCTTGCCGCCGAGGAGGCTGAAAGAGACGAGGAAGCAAAGGCGGCAGAAGAGTCCGAGGATGATTCTGAGGACGACCGCGACAGCATGTTGGACGAATCAGAGAGTGATGGAGAGCAAGAAGATGAAGATGAGGAAGACGCGGTTCCCAAGAAGTCTCAGAAGGCCGAGTCGGAACCATCGCGACAAGAGCGCGGCTCCAGCCCAACTGGATCGACCATGAGCACCAAGTTTAGCATGACGCCAGAGTCGTTGGCCGCAAAGTTTCCAGCTCTGTTCCAGCCTCCACGAGAACCCAAGATCCTCATCACCACCTCAATCAACAGTACACTACACGCACAAGCTGAAGTTCTCACGGACATATTCCCCAGCAGCACATATATTCGCCGCACCGCTCACCGTTATGGACACAAGTACTCAATCCGGGAGATTTCCAAGTTTGCCTCGAATCGCGACTACACCGCAGTCGTCGTGCTGAACGAGGACCAAAAGAAGCCCTCGGGCTTGGACATCGTCCATCTTCCGAACGGTCCCATGTTCCACTTCAGCATCAGCAACTGGGTTGATGGCAAGAAGCTGCCAGGCCACGGAAATGCCACAAACCACTATCCGGAGCTCATTCTCAACAACTTCCGCACACCTCTTGGTCTCTTGACTGCACACCTATTTCGCACCATGTTCCCCCCTCAGCCGGAGATTCAAGGCCGACAAGTCATGACGTTGCGTAAGTGCCGACACCCATTCAATGCCTCCATACCACGACGCTAATCCGCGCTCTCCGCAGACAACCAACGCGACTACATTTTCGTGCGGCGACACCGGTACATCTTCCGCGACAAGCGACCCTCGGAGAAGAGCGTTACGGACACAGATGGCAAGCCGATTCAGGGCGTAGAAGACATCAAGGCCGGACTACAGGAGCTGGGACCGCGCTTTACACTGAAGCTACGTAGGATAGACAAGGGCATCCAGCAAGCAAGCGGGCAGGAGTGGAAGTGGCAGGCCGGCAGCGAAAAGGTGCGCACGAGATTCGCGCTATAGGACGACTGCATGGTCCAACTCGAGATGGAAGCACCAGTAGAGTATTACCTACCCATCCAGCTGTTCTATCGAGTTCGCCATTTGACCAGCACATTTGTTTGTTCGATATGCTTGCTTTCGGGCATCTTGCTCATCTGTTGGGCCCACGTGAGTCAGTGTCAGGCCAGAATTCGTTGCACGACCCTACCGTATTATCTTAACCTGCTTGCTGCCAAGGCGACTAGGGTCTTAGGCGGTAAGGTTCTACTAAAATCTCTAACTCTTACTACTTTTTATTTACTTTAGATTCTCTTATGCTTAGAACATTAGTTGGTTGGGCGTTGCAACGAAGGTCCTTAGCGGTCCTTGGCCTCAATGTAGAAGATTAATAGTTGCATTTAGTCGGGCTCTCTCCACAATGTCCGTTATGGTCTAGTGGCTAGGATTTGTCGCTCTCAGTAAGAGTTTCCGAACTTTACAAGCGCCGACAAGGCCGGGGTTCAATTCCCCGTGACGGAATTATCTTTTGCTTTTGTTTCACTCTATCTTTTTGTGTGGGGAAAGCCGTTCTCAAACTTTTGCGGGGCAGTTTTCGGCAACCACGGCGCAAGACACCGAGTTCTCGGTCGCATTTTAACGAAAGAAACACTAGAAAATGGCGCCGGTATCACTACAAACAAGCATCACAAGTCATTGCACGAATTTTGCGTCAGTAAGTGGTCCAGGGGGTCGTGGGTTTCAATTTCAGGGGGCGGTTGTTCCCTTACCCTGCTCCCCGCCGGCCGTCGCACAACACTTGGAACTACACCACACATTGTTTGTCCATCATCTTTACACGTTTGGATGTTGATGCAGCAATTTTATTGACGTTGCCCTTATAGTGGGTGTTGAAAGAAATGAGACCTCCCGGCACTGCGAGTGCGATTAGGGAGGAGCATTCATTTACCGCCACAGTTATACTTAAGGAGCATCCATTCACTGCTACAGCTGCAGTCAGGGAGTAGTCGTTCACTGCTGCATTTAGCCCTAGGGAGTCTCGTTCTTTCAACACCCACCGTGCCCTCGATTTCTCAGCACCGCTCATGTCAATCTCGTTGCACTGCATTGATTATTTCGTGACTATCAATCCAGACTGCTCGTGTCAACGTGAACTGCATCTTATGCGAGATCTCGCTTACCTCCTTTCCCGCGGCGAGGAATTCCTTTCCGCGTCTTAGAAGGGTCCTCTGATGAAACAAGGGTTCAGCGCCACTGCTGACAGCATCATCACAGGGTCTTCATCGTAGTACGCGCTGGTATAGCATGGACATATGGGGTGGGAAGCATGATGCGAAATGAAAAGATGGTGATTGGGCATTGAATGGGTATAGGTAAGCGGCAGGAGGCTGGACCGGATTGCTTTTTGAATCTGATCTCTGCCGCGTCAAGGGGCAGGTTCGGGTCGGCACCAGCTGGATTGGTGGTGAGTTTGGGCTGTGCACGAACCGCCCGTGTGGAGGCAAGGCGCAGGAACATGGTGGATTCTGTTTACTTTCTCGGCTCTATTGCTTTTTTGGCCATGTATAAGGCAGGAGCGATGTTGGAGATGGATGAAAGAGGCAAAAAAAAAGTCGGTCGGGCAAAGTTGCCACGGCTGCGGTTGCGGGGAGTGAGAGCGGTGGAGAGAAACACAGGTTAGCACGCGTCGCTACCTCACGGTGAAGGCCATGATGGCTCGATCTCGTCCAGCCTCTTGTTCGGCGGAAAGCCACGGGGAATTTCCGAACGAAGCCCAAGAGTCCGGCATGTTCGGCACGTTCGGTGGAGCCAAGCGTTGGCCGGATGTTGCTTTTGGGGCCGCAGGCGAAGAGGGTTGCGGCAACAGACGTTTTGGAGGCAGTGCTCTCTGGCTCTCTGGCCAGGCTGATGTGATCATCTTGTCCCTGCCGAACATCTCGGACGATCAGAAAGTGGAAGAAGAGGCACAGGTGGGCTTGCACCGATGTGCTGAGGGCGCGCCGCGGCCAATCAGGGCCGCGCCAACTCGGTTATGCTGACAAGGTCGGCTCCGCTCCGCTTCGCTTTCCAGCCCCAGCGAATGACAAAAGCCATTAGGGCCCCCGGCTATGCCTCTTTGACCTCCACCACCTCTTCTTCCTCTTCTCCTCCCTCCAGTCTGCTACCATTGCGACTCCTCTCAACCCTCACAATACCATTGCGTCCGCCCTCGCTCTCGCCCGACCTGATTGCCACATCATCGCCCACCATGGAGGCGTTCATCCGCCAGTCGCGCAACATGTGCCCGTTCCTGCACAAGACGTCGCCCGCCACTCTGCGCTCCATGTCCATCACGACCGCCGCCCACAATGCGTCGCCCGGCGGCGGCAGCATGTCCAACCTGCAAGTCATTGCTCGCCGCTGCCCCGTCATGGGCAAGGCGCTCGCCGTCCAAGGCGTCCGTGCCAACACTGCTCTCGCTGGCGTCTACGGAGGCACCAGAGCCTACCACTCCAAGGCCGGCCGTGCCCGTCTGCACACTTCGGCCGACAAGAAGGCTCAGGCCGTCGACGTCAACATCCGCCGCGACCAAGGTAGGAGAAATTTCACTGACGACATTTTCTGAAACCGTGGCTGACTGGCATGACCTGGTAGTCCCGTACCCGAAGACTGCGAAGCCGGCCGCTAATGCAAATGCTGTTCCCAAGCATCTGCACGGAAAGCCTCCTTCTCCGCGAGCAGCCAAGTTCGACTACGATGGCTGGTACAACAATGAACTGGACAAGAAGCACAAGGACAAGTCGTACCGCTACTTCAACAACATCAACCGCCTGGCCAAGGAGTTTCCCAGGGCCCACATGGGCACCGAAGCGGACAAGGTCACAGTCTGGTGCTCAAATGATTACCTCGGCATGGGACGCAACCCGCAGGTCATCAAGAGGATGCACGAAACCCTGGACACCTATGGCGCCGGTGCCGGAGGAACGAGGAACATTTCTGGCCATAACAAGCATGCGGTCGAGCTAGAGAGGACCGTTGCGAAACTTCACGCCAAGGAGGCGGCTTTGGTGTTTTCGTCCTGCTATGTGGCCAATGATGCTACTCTGGCCACCCTAGGAAGCAAGCTGCCTGATTGTGTGATTCTCTCGGACAGCCTCAACCACGCCTCAATGATCCAGGGAATCAGACACTCAGGCGCAAAGAAAATGGTTTTCAAGCACAATGATCTTGCGGATCTAGAGGCAAAGCTTGCCTCCCTCCCCCCGGAGACACCCAAGATCATTGCTTTCGAGAGCGTGTATAGCATGTGCGGATCCATTGGTCCGATTGAGGAGATTTGCGACCTGGCTGAAAAGTACGGCGCCATCACCTTTCTCGACGAAGTGCATGCCGTCGGCATGTACGGGCCGACGGGCGCCGGTGTCGCTGAACACTTGGACTACGAGGCCCATGCTCAAGGGAGACCTCAGGGGACAATCATGGACCGCATCGACATCATAACTGGAACTCTGGGCAAAGCTTACGGATGTGTTGGTGGATATATCGCTGGTAAGGCCAACCTCGTAGACGCCATCCGCTCTCTTGCTCCCGGATTCATCTTCACCACCTCCCTGCCCCCGGCGACCATGGCGGGTGCCCAGACTGCCATTGAATATCAGATGGTTTACCAGGGAGACCGCCGTCTGCAGCAACTCCACACGCGTGCAACCAAGCACGCCCTTGAGGACAAGAACATCCCAGTCATCCCCAACCCGAGCCACATCATCCCAGTCCTTGTGGGCAATGCAGAGACTGCGAAGAAGGCCAGTGACATTTTGCTTGAGGAGTGGGACATTTATGTTCAAGCTATCAACTATCCCACCGTGCCTGTAGGCCAGGAGCGTCTCCGGATTACGCCGACGCCTGGTCACGTCAAGGAGTACCGCGACCACCTTGTCACGGCAATCGATGCCGTGTGGACCCAGCTCGGCATCAAGCGCACCAGCGATTGGGCAGCCGAGGGTGGGTTCCTCGGTGTTGGCGAGCAAGGCAAATCTGCTGAGCAGCCGCTCTGGACCGACAAGCAGCTTGGTATTGAGCACGTAGCCAAGGAGCTCGAAGCTGGCCAAGGCGCCGCTGGTGTCTTGGAGTCTGTTCTCGAGAAGGAGAGGGCTCAGACTGCTGGTGCGGTGGCTGCTGCGGCTTAGAAGTGTGTAATGTTTGTCTTGACCAGGCTCGGCCGCTCTCTACCATTGGGGCCTGGATGTTTTGGAATTGATATGAATAGGTAGTGAACAAATATATTACGAGTTGAGCACCATACGCTCCTCGACTTGATATTTCCATGAATGAGACTTCTGTGCCCTATGTAAAAATGCGGAGGGGTAGGTGGTGACGTGAGCCCGCAAGCAAGCGATGGTCCGTGCATAGCTTGGCGGCGAAACGTCGCGCGCTGTCTTTCACTGCAGAGGTATTGTCGCGGTCATGTCCTCGACCGAACAGCTCCATCACCCACCGCACTCCAATCTCTTAGCCCGCCTTTCTTCCTCACGCTCCCTCTTGACCTTCTCTTGACAATCGAGCTCGATTGCATCTCGTATCTGGCAATCGCATACTACGAACGAATCTCTCAGAAACCGACAAGGCCCTGCTTGCGATCTGCTTTGAGATACATCGGCTTCTTTGATGCGCACCACGATAGTAGCCCCGGTCAAGCCTTGAGGCTTTTTCGCTTACACACCAGGTCGCCATGGCGCCTCCTGCGAAGCGCAAGCGGCCCGAGAGGAACTATACGCAGGATGGCGACTTCAACGGCAGGCCTTCGCCTCACCGGCCGCACAACATGAACCTGGCCCAGCAAAACCAGTACAACAACAGCCCGGCTGGCGGTGGGCGCGGTGAGCGCGGCGAGCGCGGTGCTACGAGGGGTGGCAGGAGGGAGAGCCGTGGAGGAGCTGGCACTGGTGGTGGACGCCGTGGTGAGCGAGACGCTGCGGTGGACAGCCCGTCCAACACTCCTACTGTCGGGTCTTCTGAATCTAATGCTCAATCTTCAGCCCCGGCGTCGCATGCAAGTCTCCAAAGGAGCGAGAATGCCCCGGCCAGTCCCACAGTCAGCAGACCACACCAACAGGCTCAAAGTGGTCCGCAGAGCCGTCCAGCGACCCCAGCTGAAAAGACCAACACGGATAGGCCTAGCGCGCCCGCTGTGTCCTCTGCAGCCAAACCTCCCATCAAGTTCACCTATCAATATCTCACAGACGACCACAAGAATGCATGGAAAACATCGGGAAAAAAGGCAGTCCTGGATGCGGCGATCCAGGCTCAAGAAGGCGGAGATATCCTGGCGTTGAGTGTGATTTTTCAAGAGCTGGTAGAGGCAGGGATTGGTGGCAGGATAGATTCCACGGAAGCTGGCCAGGTCGTCAGAGATCTTCTTGCACATGCAGGCGATCAGGCGCATGATACTGCATCGTTTTTCCTGGACAGTCTGTCTGTCCTGGCAGAGGTCGACGCGGAATCGCCAGCGCTCAAGTTTATCATCGCTGCGGCGGAGATTCCTC